TCTGATATATGAGCCAGCTGCTGACATGTGATCAGTAGAGGTCAATCCCATCCCTGACATGTGTCGTTAATCACACATATACAACACTCAGAGTTAACAACAGCATCTCGGAGATGGCTGTGTTGTTTTATTGCCTTTTAGCTGAGTACCAACCCAACACATTAAGGCAGAAAATTAGCTTTGTTGTCCACAGAGCACAGTGGCCAATAAATCAACAGGTTACCGGCACAAATCAAAATGTACTCATACATAAGCAGCATCATTTGGGAAAAACAATACATTCACTAGTTAGTTTTCCTTTTCCATGGCCAGTTATTAAATACATTTTCAAATGGATTTAAAATTGCGCAATAGTGACTTGTTTAGCTCTCAAAATTAATATTCACAAGTCACAAGACTCGTTTACCACTTGAAAAAAATTTTCTTTCCACACCTTTGCACTAAGTTGTAATTTACTTGGCTGCTCACGCTGTTAAAAAAAACATTCTGTAATGGCCACTGTCGGTTGTCCTAGTTAAATCATGGCTATTATTCAACAGTGGGATTCGGTAACATGGATCATTAGTTCAGATATAACAAGGCGGCAGACATGCACGTAAACCATGATGTTCTTCAAAATTAATTATTTGTTTTTCAGAACACTGGCAGTGGCAGTGCTGTTGACGTGTGTTCCCTTTCTCTGTATTATTTAAATAAAGAATAGTTTTGCATAGCCTTTGACTTTGGGGAATCTGTTGACATTTGTTTTGAATAAACCAGTAATACACCAAGGGGATGTGATTATGCTATGATAATCAAAGGGACATTATTCCTCCTGTTCCTCTAACCATTGGAAAACCTGCTATACTGAGGTAGCATTTAACCTCATTTAGACTTTGTTTTTATGTTTCCAAGGCTGAAATCATTATCGTTATATTGGAGCCTGTGTTCTTATGATGTCTCTGACAGATTAATGGGAGCCATGCCCCATCATATATTACGTCTTTAGTGAACCTCACCTTAGGGTTAATGATTGGGGTATTTGATCATTAACTTTTGACTGACCATTAAGTTTCTTGTGCTATGTGTTCACTGCTGCTCAGAAGTGTTACTTTTTGTTCCCAAAGATAGCAATTCAGTTAATTCAAGTACCTCTGGAAATACAGCACATAGATGTGGGATAATGTCGTATGGAAATTAGATCCCACTTGAACTTTGGGGGCTTTTTTCTTATGTGTTACTTACCTGGATTATCGCCTGGATGAAACATCCACTTGAACTTTTCATTCTCTCTTTCTGTCCAGTCATGCCCATTGATTGGACGTACTTAAAATGATACTTAAAATGACATTGCATTGTATTGCTATCTAAATGGAAATGACCAGTTAGAAGTATCAGCGACAAAACACCTGCTGATTACACTTCACCTCCTACTGAGCTGATGATTCTTCCAATTGCAACTGGAGTTCTGGTTGGATACATCAAGAAATAATACCATACCACGTACACTCAGGCAAACAGACACACAAATATCCACAGAGGTCTTTCCTATATGATGAACAATTGTAACCAAATATTTCATACACAGCTGAGTCGCTCTCAGGTCTTTGATTCTTACAGTGTGGTTGTAATTTCCATATAAAGTCCATTCAAAACAACAATGGAGGTGGAACCAAAATCATCTGGTTGTGTCTCATTGACTGTTGGTGGTCTGTGATCTATCAGATCTATCTATATATAAAGTATTACTTTCAGGTATATGGAAGTCATTGTGTCACACTGCATGCACCAGTCAGTGTGTGGGGAATAGGCAGAAATATGCAGAAAACCAGAGAGAAACAATGGCTTCATTATGCAGTGTATCAATGGTCCAGAGACTAGGAATGCACAGAGCAATCATGCTTGTTAAAGTCCCTCTGCGCTTAAAAAAGTAGTACACATTAACTCCTCCACAAAGGCAGAGAAGTTTGAAACTTCTGGACACATTCGCACAACAAAATACCTACTTGCTTTTGCTGTAAAGGACAATTCACAACAGCTGCAAACACAGCAGTGAAGCCAAAGCAATGTGTTGCTGCAGACAGTAAACAGCAGCTAGCCTGTCCCGCTGGCCCTAATGAGCAGTAATGTGTCACAGAATCCTGCACTTTGCATTTTAATAGGAAAAGGAGTGTTAATAGGAAAAGGCTGCCCAGATGCACTGTCTTTGTACTCAAGATTCATTGTCTGCCATTCTCCTGTCTAGTTCACTTTGACATTTTATATTTGCTGAAAACCGTCCTTGTGTGTCTGTATATCATATTATCTTGCAAAGCCACTGGATTTGAAGCCTCTGGACACATTAGTCATCATCTCTTCAGCTACATATTGCACCATTTCTGTTGCTTGGAACGGTTTTAGGACAAATACTACACAAGTGGCATACAGTCTACAGGTGCATTTTTCTGTCCACAGCCAGGCATTAGAAGGTATCAAAGGTACTGTTGAAATATAGCTTGCGGCTGCTACTGACAGCACAAAGAATATTGCTGTTAAGCATCACTGCAGTGGAGAAGGTTCTAGCTGCAAACCTTACCCTTGAGGGACCTAATACTGTGGGCTAATGGGAAAATTGTATGCTCTCCAGGCATTAGACTTAGTGACCTTTTCCCCCAAAGGCTTGAGCCTTTATACTTTCTTATAACCTGTTCCTGAGAGGTTCATCTTCGCCCTAGTAGGTTTTTACTTTTTAGATATCTGTCCAATTCATCCAACTTTATCTGCACAATTATTCACAGATGGGGGCTTCAATTAAGTAGCAATCAATCCAGCATCAAGACCAGATGTTGCAATTCTGATTCCTTCTCATAAGTCAAATAGCATTAAACAGGTGAGTATTTGTAAGAAACAAGGAAACAAGCCAGTTAGTATGATTAGCAAAATCCAAATGCAATATGCACCAATTAGTAGTTCTTGCACATCATAAAATCTGCGTAGGATTAAAAAACTTTTGGCTGAAAGTAAAAAGTCTTTTTATTTACTCACTTACTAAGAAAGGAATACTTCAGCATTTTGGGACAACTTATTTGCTTTCTGATTTGTTTTCTCATCTAACTCGTCAGGAAATCAGATAAGCATATTTCCCGAAATCTCAAACTATTCCTTTAATAAAATAGGAACGCGTAATTGACAGGTATACAACATGCACAACAGGACCATTATTTTCACTCCACACATTGCTTGTTTTTATGTTCTGGTTGTGTTAACCTTTTCTTTCCTTTCAGGGATCCTATTACTCTGCTGCTGTTGCAACAACCAAATTGCTCCACGGGGTTCTATAAAGTTTTATGTTATCTTGCCAATGACTTGATGACTACTGTGTCTGATGCTGAGATTTCTTATAGTAAGAACTCCTTTCCCAGTACCTGCTGTGATTTAGCAACAGTGATTTGCATTGTTAGAATACAGTATTCCTTTTCATGCAAGATATTTCTTGCATCTTGGCTCTAATTAGCCATCTCTCTTCTCTCTGTTGAGAAGATGTTAAGTTTTGCCAGAGTTGATGCTGCACTTTCCACTAACAAAATCATTCTATATTGCATGGGGATACAATTTAAAACTCTTTTGTTTTGTATAAGTCGTCTTCCTCTTTTTTGTAGTCATAAAAATGACCTGAAAACCAACCTGTGGCTCAAATGAACTACTTTAAGGACTTCCGGGGGTTCTCGTGTATGACTGAAGTGGACTTGAGCTTTCAGTAGCTTTTATTAAGAATTGTGCGCTCAGCTCACTCATTGGAAATCCATGGGCAGGTGCCACTCAGTCATATCAGGACTCCTGCTCCTTCTATTCTCTCTCCAGCTACACAGTATTGATTCCTCTCAACACTAAGCCTCTAACTAAACTACTGAACTCTCCCTCCTAACATTCTCTTTCCTTACTGTTGTAACCTCTTATGTGTGTTCCTTTTCTATCTCTTTCTCTTGTTTCTACCAGTGATCAGACTTTAAAGATATGTTTGAGAAATACTGCATCTGGGTGCCTTGTTTAATTGTATTTAAGTTAAGTGCAATAAACTTAAATGAAAGAGATCAGATTGGCTCTAAACTTAATGGTATAATCCATGTCATTAAACCAATCTGGCATTAACTTTAATACACAGATTTCTGTGAGGAGAGATTGTCTTTGTTTTTACATTTATATATCTATAAAATCTTTTAAGTCCATACTGCTTAAAGTGTACACACTCTCCATTTCAGCCCTATGTCCAGACTAAAACAGTGTTTTTATTGGCCAAAAATGGAGCTTTTCTAAAATATGTTTTCATAATCTGTAAATCCTAAAACACTGGCTTTGTGTTTCAATGTGTGTAGGAAAAACAGAGCTTTTACAAAAAATTGATGTAAGCCAGCCCAGTGAGGCAGCAAAGTTAAGAACTTTCTGTTGCCTTAAACCTTCTCTGTGGTCATTCATTTAAAAAGTCACAATATCTGAATATACAGCAGAGCTGCTGTCAACAACCTCAATTAATGCTGATCTTTTTCAGCGTCACGATTGGTGGGTAGTATAGGTAGTATTTTTCAGACATGATTAAATAAATATGTCATACTTGTTCTGTTGTCTGACAACAAAACCTGAAAAATGTGTAAATGAGAACAACTCATTGGCAGAATTACAACACAGTAAAGGTGACCACAGAGAGCCGGAGGTGTAACTGGCTTTTACTTGGAGTAACAACTGTGTCAGTAGCTGATGAAGATCTTTCCAGAAGCTTTGGTCAAGCGTAACAAAGTAGTTTAAGTTCCTACATTTAACCGTACCTTACTATATGGGTAGCAGATAAAAAAAATGCTGACAAGATGATGAGTTTTTCTTATGCCGTGGGTGTTTTTTGGCTTGGTGTTTTCTCTCCATGGTGGGGGGAACTGCCGCTTTGTAAATAGATTTTTAACCTGAAGTCGATATAGTGGTTTGTAAATTTTAATTTGTCTCTCTCTCTCTGTGTCCTCTCTGTTTCTTTCATCCCAGACCGTTACGTTGCCATGACAAGCGAGGAGGAGGAGGGCCCCAACGTTGCAACATCAACAGCGACGACACCGTCAGCGGCAGCAATCTCCAGGGTAACAACAGCCATAGCCAGGGACGATAGCAATGAACCCGTCACTTCCTCCTCCCCCCGCCGGCCCTCCCCGTACCACCTCCCATGTCCCGAGGAAAAGGAGGAGAAAGAGGAGGAAATAGAGGATGAAGGGATCATACAGGAAGAAAGGATTGAGAAGGAGGAGGAGGATGTGTTGGAGTGTGATGAAGATGATGATGATGTCAGCAGTGATACCAGTGTGTTAGTTGTGCCCTACCCTGAGCTGGCGCCTGTGGTCTTCTTCTGCCTCAAGCAGACAACATGTCCTCGCAGCTGGTGCATCCGAATGGTCTCCAGCCCATATCCTTTTTGTCCTGTCAGTGATGACTGTTTAAGTTTGTGGATTATCTCGAAAAATGCTGTCTTTATCCGCACTAATTTCATCGTTCAAGTCTTTCATAGGCTTTAAGAAAATATTAAGAACGCTACATCATTTCATCACTCGTGTATTTATATGCTTGTGTATTTTATCACACCAGGGTATGCAAATGTAAGAAATAATAGGCGAGCTAGATTAAAGTAAATGCTGTACATTTAGCTTAGCTGCCCCCAGGTTGAGCAGACACTGCTTATCAAGCTTCTTAAGAGCAACACTTATGAAGTCATGTGTGACTCATACACTTACACACAAAATCCCCAAACAGAGTTTTTATATCTGTATGTAGTAAGAGCAGAGCAGAGATATGAGTGGTTGAAGTTCATTGAAGCAGAGATGGAGAAGGAAGAAAAATTATGAGGGGAAAAAGCAGAGACAGACAAATATAGGGGAAGTGAGAGGCAGTGAGAAGGAGTCAAGTCAAGTCAGTTTTCATTTATGTAGCCCGAAATCACAAATCACAATTTTGCCTCAGGGGGGCTTCACAATCTGTACAGTATATGATGCAAAAGAGACAAATGAAAGGATGAAGAGAAATAAAGGAAATAGGAAGAAAGGTATACTAATGGAAAGACTATCAATAGATAGTGTTTAAGAGATATATAAGAGAGAGGATAGACATATAAGTAAGGAGAAGGAATTCAGCATGTAGTATGGATGTGTGTTTGCATGCATATAAGCATGTGTATGGAACAGCCATGATTTGTGTTTTTGAAACACAAATAGGGGACATTTTCCTCCCAGGGATCAATCCTGTGTTCTGTTTGTAGACAAGAGAACATTTCAACAAGTCCTTTCTTACCTTTCCATTAACCAGGCATCACATCAGCTTATGGTTGGGCCTGACATGAATGCATAACCAACTAGACAGAAAGAGGCAGAAAGAGAGTTGGAGTGCTGCTTAATAGGCAAGCCATCCCTTCAGGTCTAAATGAAACATCTTCCTCAGAAAAATCTCTTAAGTCAGAGAAAAAACACTAGGCTTTGTCTGTGTTTTGAATGTAATGCTAACTCTCTCTCTCTCTCTCT